ATGTGCAAGTAACTGAGCTGAGGGTCAAACTTGCTGTACAATAAATAATCCCTTCTTGTGGCAACCATAAGGTCTGATTCCCTATAGTGTGATAACATTAATCAATTGATAAGGGTGAAGCCCCAGTGATGGTGTAGAGTCACAACAGAAACATATCAGGTACGTCTGTGAAGTGTTTTCTAGATTATGTTAAATGACTAAGGTAGGAAGACCCACCCTAAATACAGATGTCACCACTCCACAAGGGGTGTCCTAGACTGGATAAAAGGGAAGAAAAGAAGCTAAGCAGCATTCACCGTTCTATATTCTGACCATGTGACTGGCAGTCTTCCATTCCTGCTATTATATTCCCCTACGCTCAGGATGCACTGCATACCCTCAAACTGTATGCCCAAAAAAAAAAAAAAAAAAAAGAAGAAAGGAAAGAAAAAAAGAAAGCCAACCCTCCTCCCAGATATTTTTCAAACCAATAAGAAAAGCATAATACGTGTCATGACAGAATTACCTTCTACTAGTCTATATCTCTTAAACCTACAACACTGGGGACTGAACTTCCAGCACACAACGCTGTGAGGACACAAGTCACTCCAAAGATAACACACACACACCATTCACCATTCTCTTTTCCCTAATTCCAAATCCTCTCCATGCTCACTATCACTTTTGCTACCTATTTCGCCAAGAAAATGAAATACTCAAAAACTTCCATCTATTCCGACCACCCCATCTAACAACTTACATCTGTATCCATCCACCCTCTTTCCCCTACAATTATGATAGCTACTCTCTTCTGCTCCATCTGTATTTGATTTCAGAACCCCATCTAACCTTGTATGCAAAGTCCTTGCTCCCATCGTAAGTTATCAGTTTTTCCCTTTCCACCAAGTCCTTTCTAACAGATCACAACATGCAATACACTCTACATGTGGTCTTTTCATAGCCCTCCATGGTCAGTATTGCCTAATAGTAACACTCTTGGAATGGCCCTTCCTCCACGTGACTAGCTTTGGTTTGTATGTAGCAGAGCAGAAGTGGTACATTATAGGCCCCAAATTGATCAAAAAGGGTATTAGCCCTTTCTATAAAGAGTCCTAATCTCCATCTCGTCTGTCTTTCTCTTTACTCATTCATGTAACCATCTCCAACTCTCACACAGACATGTAGTAAGGTAAAACTCCAATACATATAAAATACGTAAGTAAATCTTTGATCAACATTCTGAAGTCAACACTGAGGTAGAATATAGTGGAGAAAATGGTTGGAACTTACCAATAGGCACCAACAAATTGAGACCTAACACAGATAAGTTTAGGAGCAAAGTCTCTAGCTCCAGTTCTAGAATGTGTGCATCCTAGGCCAACAGCTTTTAGACAGTTCCCCAGTTTCCCTTTTTGAAACATTTTGTACTTTGCTTATTATATGGTTATCTCCACATTAATGGATTTGTCATATCCTCCAAAGTATTACAATGTCTACTACTGATACTCTCCCTTAAATATCACATTCAATCTTACAAATTTACATTATCTTCAGTCTGTAATTTTTATGTCTGGTGCTAACATGTGATATAAAGTTAACACAAATTAAAAAGAAACTTTACTTCTATCTCAAAATCTAATTATCCCTTGAGTCATTTCTGTGGTCTCTCAAACAGACACCCAGAATCTACTTCTCTAATCTATCCTCAACCTAGCCATCAAAAATGATTCTTCCAAACCATAATTCAAACACTTTGAATCCTATCATTACAGCTTGCTCACTCAGTTCTAGTTTACTAAATTCTGTACCACTACACAAATACCCAAACATGTGCTTACTGCAACATCTTTACACACTATTTCCTAGGCTTAGGGTATTCTTTTAAACCCAAAAAATTGTGACATTTTCTCCTTCATTTCCCTTAGGTCACTTCTCCTACCGATCTGGGAGGACTTTCATTATCACCTATTAGAAATGCAAACAAACTTTTATCAATCTATCCAACCACTCCAACTCATAGAATTTCCTATACTTGTTAAGTTTTATTTTTCTCCAGACCAAAATCTGATATTTACTGGCTAATCAATTTACTCTTCATTTCTCTAAATATAAAGTTCTAAAAGATCAGCAATGTGAATGTTTAATTTATGCTACATGATGCCTAGAAACTACAGAACATTAAGTACACAGAAGCTACTAAATAAACCACTGAAATAAGAAACATAGCAACAGGAGATATTTCCACTGTGAGTCTCCACAACTCCATGTCATATGAGGGCAAGAGGAATTATGAGAGAGAAGGGCTGTAATCCCAGAAAGATGAGAAGAGCAAAGCCCCAGAAATACTGCTTTGTCTTGGCTCTAACACAGAAACAAACAAACAACTACTGATGAGGAAAAACAGCTTTGACACAAAGGAACCAGGAAGATACTCCCAGAACCTAACAATCTAAATAATACTGCCCATCACTACAGAAGTATTATATCCTTCTAGTATGATTCCCTGGGAGGAACCAAAAAGCTTGCACACCACTTCTACCCAAAACAGAAAATCTTAATGTAATACGGAAAAACACATTTAAAACCTAGTATTAGGGGCTGGAGAGATGGTTCAGCAGTTAAGAGCACTGGCTGCTCTTCCAAAGGACCTGAGTTCACTTTCCTGCACCCAACTGACCACCTGGCAGCTCACAACTTTCAGTAACCACAGTTTCAGGGGAGTCTGACACCCTCACACAGACATGTAGTCAGGCAAAACACCAATGCACATAAAATGCATAGGTAAATCTTTTAAAACCCTAGCATTAAAGATACTGAATTATGAGTTCCAGGCTACCTAGGGCTACAAAGAAAAAAACCTGTCTCAAAAAAAAAAAAAAAAAAAAAAAACTCCACTAAAGCAAACTGACCTACATTCTTCAAAGTGTCACTGGTACAAGGCACAAAAACTCCAGAACTGTTGTGAATTAAAGGTGACCAAGCAGGCATGACAACTGAACACAATATATGGACTTGAGTTTTACTGTACTATAAAATACAGTATTAGAACACCTTCTGAGGAAATCTGAATACAGTTTGTAGCTTGGGTATCTGTACTCCACAGATGTTGACTTCCTGGCTTTGATAATTCTCTAGTTATGTAAGAGAATTCACTTGTTCTTAAAAAACCATATACTGAGGCTAAGGCAGAACAACACAGGCATGTAACCCCAGCACTTGGAAGAAGGACTGCAAATTCAAGGCTAGCCTGGGCTATATAGCTAGACCTGTCTCACAGAAACGAAGTCTGGGTATAATTCACCAACTCCACATTGCATACCATACTCAAGTCCTTGGGTTTGATCAGTAGCAAAAGCAAAGGGAGGAGGCAATAAGAGAGAAAGCAGAAAAGGATTGAGGAAGACGTAAAAAGGAGAAAAGGAGAAAGGGAAGGAAGAAAAGGAAAGAGATGCCTCAGAGGTTAAGAACACTGGCTGCTTTTCCAGTCCTGAGTTCAATTCCCAGCAACCACATGGTGGCTCACAGCCATTTGTAATGAGATCTGGTGTCCTCTTCTGGCCTACAGGCATACATGCAGACAGAACATTGTATACATAATAAATACATAAGTCTTTAAAAGACATATCCAAGGGGGAGAATGGGTTATCATATATTCAGATTATTCTCAGAAGTGAAAAAAAATTACTATGAAAGGAAAAAGACAAAACAAATACAGCCAAGTATTACTTTAAGAGAAATCTGAAAACATACAGGAATTCTGTGTAATTCCTATAAATTTTCTGCCAAAAGTAAACTAATGTCAAAGCAAATTTTAAGAAAACAAAGAAGTTTCTAAAATTACAATACAGAATATGAAAGTGGTTTCTATTTTATATTTTTAAAGATCTCTATAAATTCACTTTTCAAAATAAAAAAGTATATTGTTGCATATGGCTGTAGTCCCAGCCTTTACGAGGCTACGCAGAAGGATAAAGAGTTAAATGGACAGCCTGTGCTATAGCAAGATCATGGCTAAGAAAGAAGTACTCAAATTCAAATGCAAAAAGCATAATTGTAAAAATATGTATAATGTTGAAAGGACTTAAATGCAACTTTAAATTGTACCTTCCATTGGCTACCTGGATTTTTTTTTCCTGAGTCTACATTGTATTCAAGAATTAAAAGTAACAAGGTACAGTACATACTCCTATGATCCCTTCTACTCAGAAGGCTAAGAGCAAGAGGACTAGTTACAGTCAGCCTGACAACACAAAAACTTCTGTAAGAGAGAAGGAAAGTAATAGCATTAAGAAAAATATAACTTGCCTCTAAAGAAGTAAGTAGATGCACACTTTACACTAAGAGAATCTGAGAAGTAATGCCCATTAGGCAGAGTGTGGCGTTCCAAGACTGCAATCCTACTACTTTGGAGGCAAATGCAGGAAGCTCAGCTCAAGGCCATCCTCTGTACTACACAGCAAGCTCAATGCCGGCCTGGGCTACATAAGATTCAAACACCCACAGACACAAAATAAAATAAAGATGGGGGCAATGACTCTGTTTGCTGGGCTCTGCGGTGCATGCCTGCAATGCCACCACTGAGGGGCAAAGACAAATAGGTGCCTGGGACTCAATGGCCAGACAGTTAGTGGAATAAGCAAATGTTGGGTTCAGTGAGAGACCCTGTCTCAAAACCTAAGGTAGAAAAATGGTAGAGAAGCTATCCAGCATGAACCTCTGTCTTCCACATACGCATCAACAGGCAAACATGCTTGCAAGTACATAAGTGCATACACACACACACACACACAAACACACACACACACACACACACACACACACACACACGTGCGCATATTCCACATATACAAACAAAACTAAACGTATTTCAAGGAGTCACTATAAATTATTTTCAATTGAACCGTCACATCATTTAATAGTGTGGTAAAACCATATATGAGTAAAAACAGAAATAGGTTTAAACTTCCTTTAAACAAGCTGTCAACCAGCCATTTCTAACAGAAGAAAAACAGCAAAATTACCTTCATGAACTGTAATGCCACAATTGTCACACTGAATTATTTCATCTGCATCTTCACTATTATCTCCAAGACAAACACAGCAAATCAGAATATGGTCCATTTTTTGGGAACTCCAGTTTTGACTCTTCTCAAGAATCAGCGAGTCCTAATGTTAAAATACATCAGAAGAATCACATTTTAATTAAGAAATAATTTAATACATTTTAAATAGTTTTTCTTGCTTTAAATTATGTGACATTCTATTAGAACCCTCAAAGTACACTACACCTCTGTCAAAGGACCCTTTATACATCTTCTTTGTCTGTCACTTGTCTCCAAGTGCCATGGGTTCTACCGTCTACCAAGTGAGAAGGCACAGGCATGCAAATAACTGTCTGCTTTGGCACTCAAATTTAGCCCTTAAATTAGGAGAAAAGGAACAATCTATCCTCTAGGAATACCAATCCTACATATAGATTTTCAAAGAATCAAGATGTGGTTCCTACACTTTTATTAAAGTTACTACCAGGAAAGACAAGACACACACATACAAAACAGGAGGAAGTAAGTTAAAGATAACATATAAGCAAGTGTGCATATGACGCCTGAGAAACTCTAGACTCCAAAGTATAGAAGGTCGAGTTACCCAGCTACTCAGAAAGAGCCTGAACACATAACCTTCATATCTAGCTAAAACAAAAATTTCTTAATGATCCAAGCTGAGTAGCTTCTAGGAAAATAGAGCATTCCTGACATTTATGTCAAGAAAGATCTAGTGCAAACTAGTGATAAAGATAGCCAGCTACTAACAACGTAAAAGAGAAAATTTTCATAGTACAGGAGTATAAGATAAAATCGCAAGAAAATCTGTCCATTTTAATTTAAACCTTGAGCATTATGTATGCAAACTTTAATAAAAAAATCATTCTGGCACAGTGGCATACTCCTATAGCTCCAGCTACATGAGAAGATGAGGCAGGAGGATAATTTGAGCCTAGGAGTTAGACAAATAGTAATGCCCTACCTCAAAGAGTCTTCATAAATATCAGTTAACGTTAACAAGGTAGCATGTCAGTATATTATCATTTATAAACCTAACCACAACCAAAACAAAATTGTTAAGTTAGTTCTAATCAATACTCTCAAGGGTAACATTTATAACCATACTGTCAATGCAAATTGTGAATGACATTTTAAAAAATTTTGGGGGGGGGGGGTTGAGACAAGATCTCATGTAACCCAAGATGCCCTTGAACTTACTATGTGCCCAAGGATGGCCTTGAACTTCTAATCCTCCTGCCTGTACTTCTCACTGGCTCTGCTTATAGGCATATGCCACAACACCCATTGAAAATACTTAGATGCAATAAATAATACTTCCGATACATTTTATGGATAACATCTAAAATTACAGCTGTAAAACAAATCAGGAAAAATGGCTACCAAGCAAGGTGAGACTACCCTATAAAACTCACGTGTTTTATAGTTTCTTGGTAGCTAATGAACACCACGGGTTTCATTCTCAGCTTTCACTTACAATGTTCCCATTTGTGAAATGAGAATGACAGAAATAAAATGGAACAGAAACGTTGTTGTAGGAATTAATGAGGTAATAAAGGTTATCGATGTTGCATTGTTCATGCCCTTCCTCCTCGCCTCTATAAGAATACTGACATCTAACAATGAGGCCAGGGATGGGCTGTCTTCTCTAGAATCAAGTTACAATCATAATAAGCAACGATAATTCATCCCCATGGTAAGTCCAAATGTTTTCTCATAGCATATCACTTCTAAGTGGTTTTGGTTTTGGTTTGTTTAAATATCACAGACTAGAAAATGACCTAGTAAAATAGTTTATTAATAAGTTACCCATGTCAATGGACTGTCAACATTTCTTTGAAAGAATTACTTCAAGGCCTTAGAAAATGCATTAATACAGAAAACAAGTGAATCTCTGTAAAACTGTGAATAAATAAAAATGAGTCTCCTGAAGTAGACACTGAATCAATGGGAAGATCTAATTCCTCTACTTTCTGATTTTATCCAGAAAAACAGACCATCTGCGCTGTCTCTCTCTGCTAATTTCTCTCTACACGTACTATTCTCTAATGCATGAGAATGAGAAAATAACAGGGACTGGGGTTCTGGGCTTCTGATCCCAGTGAGATGTTTGTTCACACTGTATACAAAGGAAGGCGAACACTAGCCTTACAGTGTTCCCCTAGACAAACAACTGGTCACAATGGTTCAGTGGGAAAATCTACAGCAAATTTTTGAAAACGGTATGAGCTAAGTGTTTGTTAGTAGAGCAAACATACATTAATGTTTAAGTATGATTTAAGCACATTTATGATCAAAATAATAGAGTCCAGTTTCCTATGAACTTGTTAGCATGCTTCTGAAGATAAGTGTCCTCTTTCAAAGAATAGGCTACAAGAATTTAATGCAGCTTTGCAAAAAAAAAATAGAAATCAGGAAAGTAAGTTATAGATGGCAAAAGAGCACTCGCCTAGAGATTAGGGGAAGAAAGGGGGCACTACATTAATAATTCAACGATTATATTTAAAGTTAATCCTAAAGAAAAGAGCTTAAGGGAGGTGAGAATACAACGGGCAATGAATTTACATGTAAAAACTAAGCAGAAGGCACAAACTGGGAGACAAAAGGGACACAGCTGGGGAGTGGAGGGGACCCAGGCGCAATAGAGAGGGAAGCAATTGAGAACTAAGTATACAGGCATGTATGCATGAAGATGCTAGGTCACATCCCAATGCTTTGTATGACAATCTAAATATAAATAAATAAACAAACAAACAAACAAACATCAGCCAAAAAATGAAACATTGCCTAGTACTCTCCCTGTGCTCTAAAACATACTTACTGTTTACTTGCCATGTATTTTCGAAGATGATTATAAAATATATACAAATGGCCTAAATTGTACCTGTTGTATTTACATTTAACAGGAAAAAGTCCAATATAATGGAGGAAACAGTATTAAAAGATAATGAAAAAATAGTATACAAAAAAACCAGTATTGATCATACGAAAGTGTGATCAATAATTCTTCATCAATGCATTCCCTAAAAGAGTCCCACGTTTGTAAAATACTATAAAACTTGTTTTAACAGGACTTACAGCAATCTTTTTCTTGAAAATGTACAGAGATAATTAGTAAGTCAGACATACCAAACAGATACCTATCTTCAGAAGTATGCTAAGAAGTACTGATAATAAACTTGAGTTTTATATTCATTTGATCCTGTGTGCTTGAATTACTTACTCTATGTAATTACTTGTAATTACTTGAATTACACTTGCTCTATGAAAACACAAATCATGTTCTCAAGAGAAAGGGTTAATATTTTCCCATTGAAAGTATTTATAAATGTTGCCAAAACCTTTTATATAATAATCACAAACATTAGGGGACACTTGTCGTTAAACATAAAAGAGCCTTGTATGAAAAAAAATTCCTTTACTGAGCCGGAAATACAAGGTTGTACTTATTAAACAGTAATCCAAAAACCAAACTGTTGTACAGATTCTCAATGAGAAAGAAGCTTTTGGTCCTTAATAAAAGAAGACTGCCATTTCTACTGACAGAATTTCTGCATTGCATGAATTTTCATCTACTCCAGGTTCAAGACTTGAAAAATGAGAACCATTTTCTAAAAATATTACATTACCCTTCTTTTAAAAACTTAGGTCAGAAGGTCACGATTGGGGACTGGGGAGATGCTACAAGTGACACTCAAGTTTCAAAATAAAGAACTGAAAAGGTCCCAGCTATACCTTAAAGGCGTTATCCAGACTGTACTAATTTCAAAAATGCAAATGTAAAAACCCACGGAGAAAAACAAGCACCGATGTGCAGAAAACGCAACTCATCAAGTGCTCCACTTGAAAGCAGCAGCGGTGCTCCCAGAAACTCTCTTCCAGGAAGCGCACAGGCAAAGACTATTCTCATAATGCTATTACTATACCTTCTGCTTCTTGTGCTCTTCTCTTGTGACTGGGTGAGGTGTTCAAGAAGCTACATAAGGGCAGTGGTACCAACCTGACAACTTGTCTGCTTCGACATCATGTGTTTTTGTTTTGTTTTTTACATTATCTAAGATTTAAGTTGAAACTGTAAATATCAATAAACATAGTCAGCCTAAATAATACTGCAAGTCTTCAATGATTTTTTAAGATAAAGAAATCCTAAACCAAAATGTTTCAGAGGCACTCCTCTGTGTGCCTGAGGCATGTTGAAGCCAAAAAATGAGTTATAAAAGGACCCTGGTCAAAAAATGAAAATTCCCCTAAGAAACTTGAAAGTTGTTAAGGTCCCAGAACATCATGTAACTACAGACAACCCACATCATTTCTCTGCCAATCCACTTGACATTACAACCAAGAAAAGACTTCAGCTAAAAATAAAATATGATATTCTCTTTTGTATTTGTAAAGCCACATTTTCTGTTGTTTCTACATCAAAGGGAATCTGAACACTAAAAGGCAAAATGGAAAAAAAAACTCAAATACATACTTGTTAACTATAAGGAATATTTAGTAAATACTATTACCCAAGATAGATAACTACTAAGACTGACAGAAACATTATACATAAGGCATAAAGAATAAACTATAAATATCTTTCTTTAAAAAAAGATCATATAAATAGAAAATTTATACTTACAATCATCTAAACTAAAATTGAATGTCTAATTTACTTTAACATAATTTAAATATAATTAAAATCATCAAAAAAATTAAGGGATTAAAATAGTTATGCAGACAAAAACTGTAACCAAGCATTTAAGGAGGAGGCTATTCTCAGAGAGATTAGCTTTCTGTAAGTTATTCTATATGGGTTTTTTCCCTGAAAAATACTTTGGGATCTCATCCAAGTAATACCTTTGGACACTTAAATATAGTTCCCATTACTTACCAGAATTTTTAATTTTTTTTCACCAAAAGAAAAAAAAAACTAACCCACATATATGATCTTGAAATATATTATAAAACTTAATCTATTAAGCACTGTTATCAAGTAGAGGTTATTAAAAGGTAATACATTTCTATACATATGTAAGCATTCCTACACATTAGTATGAATCTTCTCCACGGTCCTCTATCATTAAATCACTTCTGTAACTATTAACCTAATAAATATGAAACATAAAGAGATGCTCTGAAAAGCAAGCTCAGTCAATAGGTATAGAATAAGTGCTACATGTTATAAAAATAAACTGACAAATAAATGCCCAAACTAAATATTAACAGATATCCATCAATATGCCAAGATGGCATTAGCAATATGGAACAGCTTATGCTACAACCTTAAAAGTACCACACTATCTCCTCAAATGAGTTCTTCTTTACCTAAAGATATAAATTAGCATAACACTGGAAGCAGGCAACATTCTTCATAGGAATGAGGGCAACCTAGAAATTAATCAGTGTTTATAATACAGATAATAAGCTGCTATTTCATCTCTGCTGACACAGAATCCCTGACAGTTTGCTATATATTAAGAGAAAAAAATCCCACAAAATGTGTAAGTCTAGTTAAAATAGACAAATGCTAATCTGAAATCTGTAAGCAGAAAAATATGAAAGAATAAAGCATAAAGAAAATCTACCAGTTTAAGCTACTTCAATGGTATGAAAAGCAAAACAAAAAGGTGAAGAAAATTTTGTTGACATAAACACAGTAACAGAAATGACAGAATTAATACAGTTCTATAGGTGATGTAACAGATACATCTACATGTAAGACACCAACTCAGTCTTTCTTTTGGAGGAAAACACATAGGCACACAGACAGAGACACAAATATATTTAACTGAAGTCTTGAACGTTGCACCTCTGGACCAATGGGTAAACCTAACTTGCAGTAGAACGTCAGTGGCAGGACTGAGTCATGACTGTTGCTTCAGGATAGAAACGTTTGTTCTAAGGGGGAAAATGTTTGCTTTTATTTTTACTTCTTTGCAGAGAATCTGTTCATTAAACGTGTTTTTAAAAGTACATTTTACTTGCACACACACAAAGAAAATTATTGGTGACTATGCTGGTGACTGCTACAGCTGATGGCTTAACCTTTAAAACAACTCTCTACAAGTCTGAGAAAGAAAAATGAGCTATTTGCTGTTCTCTTCTAAAGTATTCAAAAGCTTTATATATTTATGTGGCTATGGACAAAACTATGTTGAAAGAAGTCCCTACTATCATAATCCACTCAGTGCCAGTTAGCATCTATGACCAGGAAGAGGATAAAAATGGGATAGAGAACTACCATTTCCCAAGTCTACAGATATAAAAATGTTTCTCTACATATTCTTCTCCTTGGAGATGGAGACTACAAACTCCTGGAGAATGCTGACAAATGGTGGGTAATTAAAAGTTTGCTGACCAAATGAACTAATGCTACATTTAGGGTGTTCACTCACTCCTACAACTAAAAATTCAAGGAAGTCACGTAATATATAGATGATGTAGTGATTTAGAAATTTCCCTTTTCCCCAGACAGACAGATATCAGAAAAATTGGGTGAATCTACCTCATTGCTCTTGCTTTGAGATAGGGTCAGGCTATCATTGGTCAGTTCCTCATCATCAGCACTGTTTCTGCTAAGAACTTTACTCTTCTTCTTCTTGCAGCCCACTTCGCTAGCAGGGCTGCTATGGTCTTCATCATTGCCCTCATCATTCTCATCTTCATCACTCCCACTTCCCTCATCTTCATCATCCTCATTGTCTACGTCACTGCCCTCCTTCTGAGATGCCGATCTCCCCTTTCTCTTTACTACAGTGGGTCTCCAATCATTGTCGTCTTCGCTGTCATAGTCATCCATGTCATTCAGCTCTTCCATGGATACAAAGTCCAAAAGGGGACGGTTTCGACGAAGATTCCATTTCTTGGGCTCACTGACTTGCTCCTCGGTGGCAGTGGTTGTGGCAGCGACTGAAGGGGAAGTAACAGCAGGAGGACTTGTGGCTGGTGTGGGGGCAGCAGCAGAAGTAGCTACGCTATCAGATGCCGTTGTCTTTTCTTTGTCCTTCTCTCTTTCCTTCTCTTTTTCCTTTTCTTTCTCCTTTTTCTTTCTAGGTCTTTCTCCATTTTCCTCTTCTTCCTTCTTTTCCATTTTAATTAACTGTTTGTCTGATGGCACTATTTCTTCCTCTGTCGAATTTTTAAGCTGCTCTTCTTTTGCTTTAATATCTTCATTCAGTTCTTCTTCTAGAATGTTCTCCTCAGAATCACTACAGGAGCCTTCTCCACTGTCCTTTGAAGGGTCTTCACTCCCATTACCACTCCCTTCAGAATCTGTTGAAAATATGAGAAAAAAAAACCACACATATGTATATACATACACACACACACACAACACTGACACAAATGAAACCACCAAAACTTGTGAATAACTTGGAAAACAATATAAACAAATCTAAGGCAAAGGATGGTAGACAATCCCAACCTCATTAAATAATAAGTCAACAAAGTTGATATGTGATTTAATCCAATATGAATTAATGAAGATGACATATGAAATGTATAGTACTACTATTTTATACCAAATAGCTAATAACAGTATAATATCCTAGAGATAATTTTATTTTCTATAAGAATGTTTTAATGGGCACTTGATTATAACTTAATCATAATGTAATTTGATTAAGTTATCCTTCCTTTATATCCTGCTTTTATAAAACATTTATATTTAAACTAATGAATCACATCTCAGGCAAGAAAAATTTAGCCCTTGAGAACTGTCTAGTTCACTAAACTTTTTTCTATCAAAACAAGCATGGACATTTGATAGTGAACTTGAAGCAGACAATGTTACATCAAGTACACAGGTGAAAATGGACACTACCAATGGCACATAACAAAACAGAAGGTGAAATAAATTCAGTCTTCCTGCTTAGTAGAATACTGTCCATATCAACACATGTGTCACGTAAATTTTCATAACTACTAAGCAGCCTACAATGGAAGACGCTCATGAAGAAATGAACCCATCCTACAATGATCAGCTTCCTGCTACTGAACAAACAGGCTATTATTACTGAGTAGATTGTACAAGCTTACAATTAGCAAGCTGCTTCGATTCCCACCTAGGGTGGCAGAGTCCATCACAACCAGCACTTATTCTCTATTCTAACTTGTCTGCACAAAAAACGAAAATAAAAATTTAAATATTTGGACAGGAGGATAAAGGGAAATGGAGAAAGAAGAGGGACAGCAAGATTTTTATACCAACTGTAAAATCTCTAGGAAAATAAATTGACTGCATCTATAATCAGGAAAGTGGAAATGCAACCTAGTATTAAGCATTACTGCTTCCATATAATTTTAATTTTTTTGAACCCAACTTTCCTTCACCCTTAGAGTTAAGTGGGAACCGAAGGTGCCAAAGTTAGTATAGCTAATCTGGGAAGCCACATATATGTGGCTAATAACAAAACTGTCCTGTGTGTTAGTTAACTCATGTAAGAAATGAAAACTGTCAATCTCAAGACTATCAACTTCCTCAGTAATGCTCTAAAGAAAAAAAAAACAAACAAACAAACAAACAAACAAAAAAACACCCTTATTCTAAACAACCTTACACAAGGCAAACATGCACTATCATCCAAGCTAACAATTCTTTAGGTTTCAATCTTTGGAACTAGATATGTGTGCTGAAATTTAGAAATGTTCACATTTTACTAGAGGAATTTGGAATATGCCCTACTTATTAAATTAATACCACATTAATGCCAAAGATGCTATTTCAAATATAATAGTTAAACAGTATAAAGTACAAATATTTACAATGTATGAGAAATGACATAATTAACTGTCAGGTTTAGACAGGTTTTGCTGCAAAACAAGTTTCTGCCAAATTTACAAAATGTAGATTTCTGAGCTTTTTAAAGATCATGGACTCGATATCATCCCCAACCAAGTGGCTTGTCTTCAGTTGAAGCATTCTATAAATCACTCAGGACATTTGGATTTTTCCAACACTCACAATAATTAAACCTAACCTACAAAGAAAACTTAATCCTAGCTAAAAATCAACAATAATAATGGTCTTCTGAGAAGCAGAATTCACTAAACACTTCAAAGACATTTCTTATGCACATTAACTAAGGAAAATTATGACACCTCACAAATAACACTGTAATCAGAAGCTAAAAGGCAGAGACAAAAAGGAAAGATCCTACTCTTCTAGATGAGTCTTCTAGAAGGTTCTTTAACAAGAACTTAATAGGAGATACATAACTAAAGCTCCTAGTACAAAGTATGGGATTCCCAATGAGAATAAACTTACACCTGATAAACTTTACAAATGTCATAGTTTGTAATTTTATTTTCAATGTCAACACTAATGCCTATTACTTTCAAATGCAGAAGTAAACTAATGTTCCTTGATTTTCTTTCTGTTTTATAATCAAGTCTGAGTACAGTGCAATTTTAAATTCAACTGTTTTATATTTGTCAATGTATTATTATAAGAACATGACAATTCTCTTCGAATTCAAATATTAGGTACTTGCCCAACTTTTTAGTCACCAAACGTAACATGTTAGTCATATCCTAAGAACAGGGCCAGGATCACTGGAAAATAACTTTTGCATTTGATTAGATGCCACTTCTTTTCAGTACATATTTGAGGCACAGAGATGTTTATTTATAAGCACAAATAAAAAATAATAACAATGAGAAAATAAGGTCCACAGCTGGCTATATATTTAAAGGCTGCAAAAGAAAAACATTTCTATTACTACAATGTCAAAGAACAACTATACCCTCATGTTGCCTTCCAAATCTATCATTTCACAAAAAAGAAAGAACGGAAATAGGATGCAAAGAAGAAAGGAAAATTAACAGTGTGAAGAAATTAGGCAGACATTGCAAATAAAGCTGTCTTATGTGTAAGGACAGAGTTAGTTAATCCCCACATCTACAATGACCATTTTTTTTTTACATTTAAAAATGACTTTAAAATTAAAATTCAATTCTTCATTTAGTTACAGAATTAAGGGGAAAAAACCTTCAAAACACATAGTATATCAGGAGCTCTCAAAGCAACAGTCACTTCAACTGTTAAGGAATTTTTTTAGTTACAGAATTAAAAACAAACCTCCAAAAAAATCCCTTGACAATATTCACTGATAATATATTTGATAATCACCAATCCTCAGTATCATTGCAAAATGCTAACTTTTCTTCATGATGAATAGTAACAAAATCAGTACAATTCAGAGATTTCCAACTACAAAATATAACCTTTGTCCAACAATTCCAGAACCTCGGTTATTCTTTTCTTTGGCACAGTGCAGCAAAAATTAGCATAATAAATTAACAACATAAATAACAGATCCTAGAATTATCCTGAACTAATTCTGTTTCTCTTCATAGAAGCACATCACTCAACACAACTCATTCTCTACTGACTCTACAGGCTGTGCCATCTTGCATTTTCTGGGTAAATCTAAAGTGGAGCTTCTCTAGGACAGGCAACTCTTTCCCCAAAGGACACTATCCTAGAAACACTGGTGGTCACACAGTAGGTCCAACAGGTAGGGAAGACATGGCCATCAAGTACAAAACAGAGATGCTCTAAACATCAACACTGTACTACATAGGACATACCTCCACACAAAGAATTAGTCAACACAAAATGCCAATAGTGCCAAGGCTTTCTGAGAAACCACATCTACAGTAAGAGCTCAATACTCTTGTTGATTTCTAGGCATGTTTCTTTACTATTCTTTCTACTTGGTCCTAACCCCAAATAGAAATAACATTTCCATGCCTCCAAACCTTTAGCATTTAATGTTCCTCTCACCAAGATGGTTTTTCTCTACTCTTAGTTCTCAGCTCCTTTCCTAGCTCCTCAACGAAACTGATCTATACCAAGCTAGTCAAAAATAATCCTTTCTCCTCCAGAAGACTTGAACCATACACATACTCAACCACTCCCTGTATTACCTAGCATTTAATAAGTGCAATCTAACTATTTATCTGTGATTTCTCCCTGTAACATTTGGGAAAGTGTTAAATGAAATGCTAATGAATACAACTTGCTCAACATACTCAGCTTAAGCAAAAAAGCACTACCAAAAGAAACTACTACTGATGCCTCAACCTGACTATTCTAGTTAGATTACTTCCAGGAAAAATGGTCACATTATACTAACTAAATAACCCATAAAGATCTAAAGTTAACTCACTTTACATAGCAGAAAAAGTGGGAAAGTCCAGGATACCACTAGCTTATAACGCTAATAAAATTAATAAATGCTCACATCTTCAAAAGCAGTCAATGCAGATAACAGAAAATTATCTCTAATCCTAGACACAAATCATATAAAACACTTTACTTAAGCTAACCCATGAAATTACCAGTGTTGGTTAGAGTTACATAAGCAGTCACTTGTATATGGTTCTAACTAACATTTCCACACGGGGTTCTTCTGATGATTATTATCATAATTGTAAGTGTGCCCTGCCTTAGGGCATATTCATGTCACTGCCCTCAATCACAAATGAGAGGAAGTAGTAACATCTCAGGAACACTGGCACACCTGAGTCAAAAGCGGAACAGAAGACTCAACTGCCACTACTGTTTTAAATAAAGTCATTTTCCACTAGCTCTTTTCCACAATAACATTCCCAGAACTACAAAAGTTAAACTGGTCAGGAGCCAGGGCAGTAAAAAAAAAAAAACTGAGGATTACATGACAAGAAGTGACAGAATGTGTGAAATTTGAGTGAGTTTAAGGAACATACATTTGCCAAATATAACGCCCCTTCAACAATAATTAGTATTTATCAGGACGGGGAATCTTGACTTGGCTTGATATCATACATTACTTTTAAAGGAACTTATCAGCCTATCTCTGGATTATTCCATCCCTTGTAAAAAGAATGCCTGCGAATGACTCCAGCTCAATAAATGAGAAAATAAGCCTATCAAATCAGAATTTATTGAAACAAAACCATTTTTGAACATTTAAAGAAAGTAAGTTTTGGAGTTTGTTTCATAAATTCCTACCTTGTAAGTGGTAACAATGTCTATTAGTTTAGAATCTCACTGACTGTTGGTCTTCCCTAAGAAGACATTTACATTTTACCTCTCCTTTCTTTTCCTACTTTGAAAGTACCAAACACCAGTAAATCAACTAAATAGGAGACCAAGAGCTGCAAAGTAAAGGTTACAAAATAGTTAATCGAGATAAGCTTATCAAGTGTTGATTGCTGGAGTGAACTCATCAGTTACCACAATATCCAGGCCATTTTGACTTGAGATTCCATCTCAACCCACTCTTAGTTTCTAAACAGTGAAAAGATGAAATTTTATCGTCAGACCCATTGGATCCATCAGCTTCTGAATAACCTCATAAGCAGTCCTTTAAATTCAGTAACCCCTGTGACTATAAAGCAGTATCTCCGTAATGAGCTTTTACAAAAGTTAAATGAGATTCCGTAGTGAATATGCAAATTGTTTGCGGATGCCATTAAGAGGAACACAACAGACTAATTTTATCCCTTCTCAGTACCTTTAGAGGCAGAGGAGAGCCAGAGAAAGGGAAAGAGATGTTTCAAAATCCCCAACTGCATGATGGAATACTAAAAACCTGTTGGAGGGGCTGGAAGTATCTTCCAGCAGGACAGCATGTGTAAGGCTCTGAGTGTAATCCCAATACAAGAGACAGAACCCGTGGAAGGGATGTAATTAGAAAAGCTTTTATTTCTCTCTTTATCTAAATGCTCATCAAAGGAGTAGAAACACAAAAACTTTTTAGTGCCTGTGTGTTTACTGATGGTTTTCAGATACAATGTTGTTTCTTGGATTTAACAAATATATTAAGTACACATTAAGTATACAAAGAAAACATATAAGGGAAAACAGTAGTGGTCTGTTTTTGCTTTTATACTATGTGAACATATAATTTTTATCATCTTTTTAAATCACTAACTAGCTTTTTCATCTTTTTAAATCACTAACTAGAATAAGCAAGCATGTGTGCTTTACTAGAGGTACTGCACCTGCTATTTTAAAGCATGAGGTTTGCTTGGGCTAACTTTAATCTGTAAGAGAGTTAATGCACAAAAAATCAAAACTCCTCTAAGTGTGCTATGTGAACTGAAAAGTGAATAACCCTGTTCAAGACTAATTATTGTCCATATTAGTCTTAATATATTCTCCTGTATCTGAGGTACCTCAATTCTACACTAATATAAGCATAAGTGTATTTTAGGGTACAGAATGGGAAAAAATGTTTTTGCATCTTTTTGAAAAGAGTTCTTCCATCCCATCTAATCATCTGAGTAAGCATGGATGGCAGCAGAAGCCATCTAGTGAAAGGATCTTAGGGAAATGTGGGAAATCAAATGAACAAAATGAATGATGTGTGCTTTTACTGTAAATGAACATTTTAATCAAAACTGGTTCAAAAAATAAAAACGTTTAAAAAAAAACAAAACACACGGAACCGCAGAAAGCTGGGAAGGGGAAAGCGAAAGGCAACGTTTACCTGAAGCATCTCCAACTTTAAAATCACTGTCATCTGAACTATCATAGTCGAGGGCTTCCAGGAGAGAAGCTGCCAAAGGCTTCACCTGCCTCCTCTTGGAGCTGCGATCCACTGTGAAAAGAAAACATACACAGTCATTTTTACAGCTCAACGGAACAGGAGGAGCTCGGGGATGACTCTCTGAGTTCCCAGCGCAGCGCTTGGGGAGGAGTTGTGTGCGGGGGACGCTGCTGCTGCTGCTGAAGGCCAGGTTGCCCGTGCGGGGCGGCCAAGACCGAGTCAAAGGAGCCAAAATTCCTCGCAGCCCCCCCGGCCCAACGCTTCGTCTTCGAGGGACGCGCTTCTGGGGAGAACTCGGTAACCCCTCACTGAGACGCCACGGCGCACAGAAACCTGCAGCCGCCCTCAGTGCATGCCAAAGCCGGGGCTCACTGCCTGCCCGGGGTCTGCTGTCCCGCCGACACCCACCCAGCCCTCCCTGTTCCCCCGTCCTGACTTCTGGAAGGATCGAGAAGGATCGAGCGGGACTGGGGCCTCGGATACACTTACTAAGGAATCCGTGAGGTGGTCGTTTGGAGGAGACCTAGGGGAGAGGCTGCGGGAGGCCGGGCAGCAGGGGCGCGACCGGTCCAGGAGCAGCTCGCCAAGCCGGGCGGGGCGCCGAGCGAGCCGCGGCGACCCCGGGGGCGGGCCCCGCCCCTCCCCCACCCCCGCCCCGCGCCCCTTCCCCGGCCAGAGGCGCCAGGCCGCCCCAGCGAGGGGAACTGCCCCGGCTAGAACAGAAAAAAAAAAAGAAGAAAAAAAACAGAAATGAAAAGAAGACTTTATTATCCTGCACCAGAAGCAACAACAAAAGACCCCGGGTTCCCACAGTCGGAGGCAGCCTGTCTGAGACAATAGGGAGAGCAACGACCCGGATACAGCTCCGACCAGAAGGAAGTGAAAAAGCAGCAGCTTTAAAGCCGGGAGAGCGGCAGGAGCGGAGCGCGCCTGCGCAGACTGCGCTCCCTCCCCACGGCGAGAGCCGAAGGTAGCCGAGTTCAACCGAGTGGGGCCCGAGTAACTTCAAGAAGGATCAGGGAGTTCGCCCACGGCCCCCGAAGCTCCGCCCATAACCTGTGGAAAGCTAGACTCCTCTGAAACCATACACCCATCGTCATCTCCTTCCAAATTGTGGAAGAGCAGATACTGATTCTGGTTTATGTTTTTTAAGATTTTACATTTTTCACAAAAGGACATTTGCTGTCTTAAAGGACTACTAAAAGCCATAACTGATACCTACACCCCACCACCACCACCACCTACTGCTCCCTTGGACTGCTTTTCCTTAAATGGGAATGCACAAAAAATGTGTTTCTGCCAAAGGTTCGTGAGTGAGAATGTTATGCCAGACACAAGGGAGTTTTGGTTTTGTTTGCTTGTTTATTTGTTATTGTTTTATAAGACCCTGATCGTGACTAATTCTTTTCATACGTCCTGCGAGTTTGTTAATGTGGTTACCAGCTATTCCTCTCTCCTGAAGACAAACTGTCCTGCCTATTACTCAACCTCTTCTCCAGCAGATCCTATAAATAAGCCTTCCAAGCTACAAGGGACACTGTATTGAATACATAAGATATGCCCCCACGCACATATATAGAAAATGTAATGCCTAGCCAATAGGGTAAACTCTGAACAAGAATTCCTTGAAGGAAGCTGTGACCACTTGGCATGACTGATTATAACTGCAGTGGTCTGGAGAGATTGGGAAGTTACCATTCCAGAGCTTGACTGCCAACTATCCTGGTCTATGTTTGGCCTCCTGCATTGCCTTTCCTTTCCCACCGCCATGTCAGATCTGACAATGTATGACTAACAGATGAAATCCATTTTGGAGCAGGCTAACCAAACAAAATGCTGGTTTTTCCACCAATCAAGGGACTCAGAATGTTGTTAGATAACATCCAAGGCATATATAGCAGAGTTTTCTCCATCTTGCCATAACTGATACACCCATCAAAGTATTTGAGAACTGTCATGGTTTATAGACTTCTATTACTAAAAAAAAAAAAGTTCATGAAATCACTGGCTCTTTGGAACATGGTTGTTTGGAAGGATCTAAATCTATGTACCTAGCCATGGTCACTCATATTTAATCCCAGAATAAAATATCTCTTGTCCTCTCTGAGGTGAGAGCTATGTTTTTGTATGACCATTAAATATAAAAGTTACATTAGACTTGAATTAATTGCTGTTTTGAAAAGTATTAATCTCACAGAGAAAATTTATCCATTTAACTGTATTAACTCTTGTGTAAATTAAAACTACTTATAGATTTCAACTTACCCCTCAGAATGGCCAAGATGAATAAACCAAATGACAACATATACTGGTAAGGATGTGGAGAAAAAGGAACACTTAGTCATTGATGACTGGAGTAAAAAACTAGTACAGCTATCATGAAAATCAGGATGCAGGTTCCTCAAGAAGGTGAAAATCCATCTGCCCCAATATTAAGCTATACCACTCTTGGGCATATACCCAAATGACTCTACATCCTACCGCAGAGATATCTGTTCATCCATGTTCACTGCTACTCTATTTATAATAGCCAGAAATTAAAATCATTATAGATGTTCACAAACTGATGAATAGGTAAAGAAAATGTGGTACATTCATGCAATGGAATATTATTCAGCTGTTAAGAAAAATGAAATTTGGGAATGGAGAGATAGCTCTGCAGTTAAAAGCACTGGCTGCTCCTCCAAAGGACCCAGGTCCAATTCCCAGCACCTACATGGCAGGTTACAAACTGTAACTCCAGTTCCAGGGAATCCAACACCCTCACACAGATATACATGCAAAACACCAATTCACATAAAAAAATAAAAAGAAAAGAATTTTAAAAAGAAAGAAAAATGAAATTTGCAGGTAAATGGATGGAGCTAGAAAAAAAATCATCCTGAATGGTGTAACCCAGACTCAAAAAGGTAAATATTGTAATAGAACATAAGTTAAAAAAAAACTTTTTTGTAACTCAACTAAAACAAAATGAAATCAAAATGTGTTAAATTGTATATTTAGGTATGGGATTAGTGGACACAGTGGCCATTGAATGGGCTTTAAGGCAGTAGGTGGGGGGGTAACAAGATAAAGAGGGATACTGGAGGGAAGGTTAGAGCAGAGATGGTGCAATGGGTAAGATGTGTATGGGGTGAGCTGTGTGCGTGTGTGAAACAACCAAAAAGCATGTAAGAAAATACCATAAAGAAACCTATTTTGTAAGCTAACTAGAATAAAATTTAAAAATAAAACAAAAAAACTATGTGTTGTTACTCAGACACCACTTTGTGTAAGTTAAAAAAATTTTTTTATATGGCTTGATACCTGAGTGTGACACCAGGCAGCTCTGATAAGAACTAGACCTCAGAAGCAAGCTCCTGGCTAAGATAGGTGACAATCCCAGGACAGACCTTGATATGCTAATGAACTAATCCCAAGGTGGTGTTGGGCTGGTAAACCAGCCCCAAACTGTGAGCCTGTATATCACAAAACTACTGCCCAATGAGATGTTACAAAAATTTCAACTTTGGATGCTGCATGTGTCCCTGGCTTTGGTCACAAATAACTTTCTGGCACTTTGCTGTAGGGCCCACAGTCCCTCTTGTCATTGCTAGTGGCTGGCCATCACTCTTAGGACTTCCTGGGCCATCATCAGTGCCATGTTTCCAGCTTGCCAAGGTTGAAGTCCTTCAAAGAGGACACGGATCAATTATCGAGTTTCCAAAACTGTCTCACCTAAGAGGATTCCCCAGTGGAACCCTGCAGAAGCATTTCTTCCCAGACAGCTTTCCCTGCTTGGTGAGATGTTTAACTTTTATATTAGCATATTATATGGAATGTTTGTATATGGACAAATCACATATGCTTGAAAGACAGATCTGGTGTAGACATCCCAATTGTCAGGTGCCTTACAGTCAATAGGTCATGCTTTCTGCCATGTGGATGTCAACTTTTAAACTTTTGAAATGTGTGCTATAATCCAAATAACCACAGATGTTCCTTAACTAGAAAGGGATTGGGGTGAGTGGCAGGGTCTCCTGAGGAAGGGCAAATAAAATATGGTGTTATGAAGAGAAAAAGGGGAAAGTAGAATGGGAAAATTAAAGGAGGGGTGTAGGAGTGAACCCCACAAAGCTATCCGCCCATGAGGGCGGGGACATGTAAACTGACATAGGTAGATATAAAAGGAAGTGAAAGAAAAAGGAACCTCCCTTTTCTCCTGGAAGCCAGCCAAGCTTCTAACTCCTGGTTTGTGCGACTCTCTCTCTCTCTCTCTGGTAAATAAATATATTGTTTTCCTATAGCATTGACTATCATTGATAGAGGGGAGGTGGGAGAAATGGATAAAGGGGTAATACGGAGAGGACAACTAACTAAAGGCCTTTTGAAGAAAGCATGTGGAAACCTGTTTACCCCTCTGGAGGTAGTGAAACCTGGAAGAATGGAGCCTAAAAATGAGACGAACTAAAATCTCATTCCATAGCCAACCTTATCCAGAGCATCAGACAATTTATATTGTGAGGTTTTTTGGGGTTTTTTTTGTTTGTTTGGGTTTTTTTTTTTTTTTTGGTTTTACGAGACAGGGTTTCTCTGTTTTGGAGGCTGTCGGTCCAGCCTGGCCTCGAACTCACAGAGATCCGCCTGCCTCTGCCTCCCGAGTGCTGGGATTAAAGGCGTGCGCCACCAACGCCCGGCTATATTGTGAGGTTTAAGAAGCAATCACATGAGTAAGGTGTACAATCACAAGGACCGTCCTCACGTGTTTTCCCTTAGAGGCATGAAAACAAACAATAGGCAGTTGTTATGAGTAATCTGAGGGAAACTCACTCCTCTCTAGTACATGTGGGAGGAGCACAAAAACAAATTCCAAGAACAATTCCATGTTATTGAAGAAACTGAGGCCACAAGATTCTTGGATTCCTCTCTCTCTCTCTCTCTCTCTCTCTCTCTCTCTCTCTCTCTCTGTCTCTCTCTCTCTCTGTGTCTCTGTCTCTCTCTCTGTCTCTCTCTCAGCTACTGAGAATTCTCCTCACACAACTCCGTTCTTGGACTGTGTTGTGATAGTAACCTACAACTGTAGCAGCTCCCTGAAGTGTACACAATATGAAGAGAGTCACCATATACTGGGGAAGACAGTGTCCCAACTAGATAGCTTATCCCATCAAGTGCTGGGAATGGATTACATCTTGTTGAGCCACGGCCAAAGGGGTCCCACTGAACCCTTAAAATACCACAGATGATTACTTGCCCTCTACAACCTGATGCTAAGTCCCTATTTCTGAAGGCACTATTGTATCATTCAAAAGACAGACATCAAGCTGGTGTTCAACTAGAAGCTTCATCCCTGGTGGCTAGTGTTCACGGTACTAGAAGGTGCTCTGCACATAACCACAGTAGAATGGTAATTATCAATAACACCCTGTCACAAATACTGTGATCTACAACAGCAACCTGCCTGCGAGATACGCTGGTGAAATAGTGCCATGAAGGTTATGGGAGTGAGAAATCGCTTTTTGATTGGAAGGCATCCCATTAAAATAAATCACAGCACTCAGTATTATTAAGAGAAAAAAAACAGGCTGGGCAGTGGTGGCGCACGCCTTTAATCCCAGCACTCGGGAGGCAGAGGCAGGCGGATCTCTGTTAGTTCGAGGCCGGGCTG